ATTCACGGAGCACTGTATGCATTGTGTTATTAGTTAGTAAAGAATTATACTAGAGCTCTCGTGTGTAGATAGAGGCAATACTACAGATTCATACTCCGAGTGTAACAGAGGTCTTGAAACGGTGTTAGGACAAATGAGAGAGGAGAGCTCGCATGTCGCATGAGCGCTAAAGAGTGGCGTAGTGGAGGGCTGGTGATTAGGAAGCCAGTTAGTGATTGAGCAGCTTGATCAGACAGTCTAGTAGCCGTCTATATCTATATATATATATTAAAAAAAAAACAAAAAAAAATAATATAGATAGTGTAATAAATGCAATCGCTAATGAGTCTTTTTGTCTTTGGGCATTTGCTTTGTAAAAGATTAAATCAAATTTATGCTTATGATGAAAAAAAAAAAAAAAAAAAATCATAAATAGTTAATAAAATCATCCTAATGTCTTTTTTGTCTTTGCATTTTGCTTTGTAAAAAAATCAAAATTTATGCTTATGATGAAGAATAAAAAAGATAAAAATTGGAAAAAAAAAAAAAAAAAGAGGGAACCAAATGAAATTACATGTATTGGAGATATTTAGCCTGAGGGAAATGACTGTTGTGCTCGGTTGAATGCAATTAGAACTAACCTTCCATTTGGTGAGAAGGAAGAAGGAGAAAAGTAGGAGAAATTGCTCTGGTCTTCCTCTAACTTGGAAAAAATAGGTTACAAAAAAGTCCTGAAAAGCTGCTGAGGATATACAAGTTATTAATATTTGTTGGAATGATAAGAAAATTTAACCCTAAAAATAAAAATATAAGTTTGATCCTCAGACACATTATTGGAAGGATAGAAAACTTTTATGCTCTGTAGCATGTTGGATTGCACTTCCTAATTATATTAAAAAAATAAAAAAACATTTACAAATCTTAAAAATAAAAATCTAAAATAATTAAATTCTCTTATATATGATAATATATAGTTATTTTAGTAGTTATGATCCGTTTGATTCTGTAAAATAATTTGTTGAAAAATATTTTTCAAATAACTTATTTTCCGTTGTTTGGTTGTAATATTGAAAATTAGTTTAAAATATCAAAGTCTTTATCTAATAATACCATAAAAAATGTTAATAATAATAGAAATTTTATAATTTAAAAATTTATATCGTTAAATATAAGAAAAATATAAAATATGAAAAAGCCTCCGGTGACCGGTGGTAAATGGTGACTGGTGATAGCGAGTACAATAAGTAATATAAATTAAAAAATATAGATTTATAAGATTTGTCAATATCCGAAAAATATTTTGTTCTTCTTCTTTAAAAAATAATTTAATTTTTCTTTGAAAAAAAAATACTTTTTATTGATTTATTTTTCTAAACGCTTTAAATAATAAAAAATTAAAAAAATTATTCATTGAAATTATTTTACGAAAATAAATAAATTTTTAATTAGGTACGTGGAGACTTTCCATTTTTTCTCTCTCTTAATCATATCAGAAACAAAATAACAAAGAATAGAAAAAAGAAAGACAAAATAAAAATAAAAATAACACCTAATGATTGTGATTTGTGACAAAGTTGACATGTCTTGACTTGAAGAATTGTTATGAATCAACAAGTGGATAAGGAATTTGGATTCCCAAAATTTCCAATGTTCTAGATATAGATACTACAATAATCTGTTGGCCCGAGGAAAGCAACGGTCAAAATGTTTTTATTTTATTATTGGTTTTATCATTCTATTAATAATATACTAGTCTTTAGAATAAAGTTATTTAGATCAGATTTTATTAAATATGTAATTTTATTGTTAAATAATACTATCAAAGATCAATTTTGTAGAAATCTTTCATAATTATCAGAAACGTTTGTAAATATATTAGGCTGTCAATCGATATATTGTATTTTATTTTTCATAATAATTTGTGGTCTCTATATAATTATTGTCAGATAAAAAAAATTATATATTTTCTAAGAATTGAATTGTATATATAGATTAAGGTTGTGTTTGACAGCAGCTTTTTAAATAATTTTTACTGATAAAATAATTTTTTTAAATAACTTCTAACATTTTGACTAGTTAAAATGTTAAACATCATTTTTTCATATTATTAAGTAATATAGCTTTTAAACTGAATTTTAGAAGTTAAGATAATATTTTATAAAAGTAAACTCATGTAGTATTCAACTTTTAGGGTATGTTCGTTAAAATTGGTTATCTTAATAGTTGTTAACCGCTAACTGTTTTAGTAGTATGAAACACTAAAAGCTAAACGTTATATGAATTAACTTTTCGCAAAACTCTTTATTAACATCTAAAAGCTACTTTAAACGCTATATTATCGAATGCTATAAAAATAATATTTCACATTTTGACTAATCAAAACGATAAAAAACTATTTAAAAAGCTATTGTCAAACATTATTTTAACGTTCTATGAATTGTAATCAAACAGATAATAACTATTAAAACGGTTAATTTTTCTCGATAGATATTATATTAAATTTTTGAGTTGGTTGTATTTAAAATAATTTTGATAATGGATAATGATTCAATTGATAAAGTCTAATTCTGATAATTTTGGTAACAGTCTCGCAATTATGAAAATAAAAAGAGAAAAGAATAAAGGTACAGATATAATAATAATAATAATAATAATGAAATAAAGGACGAGGTTCATGATTTGGGGTGCAATCGCATAAAAAACGAGTAAGAATTGAAGTATCAGATCAATCAGGTGAAGATAAAACTGGAATTATGCGTCCTCCCACGGAATTCCTGAGAAGAAGCACAAGCTCAGCTGGTGGCTTCTTAGTTCTCAATAAACCTGTCACTGTCACTGTCACTGTCACTGTCACTGACACCACTGTTACTTTTTGGATAAGCCTACCACTTCTTACCAAACCCTATTCAATATTACTAATTACTGTCCACAAGAATAAAAAAGCATGGCGTGTCTTTTTTTTTTTTTCAAAAAAAAAAAAAAATTGAAGGAAGAAGCTACCATAGCTCAGCTGTGCTTCTAAGTTCTCAATAAAACAATGTCAGCTGTCAATGTCACTAGGTGCTGTCACTGACACAAACCTGTTACATTTTTTTGGAATAAGCCTACACTTCTTACCTACTCTCGTATGGAGACTACTTACCTAATTCAATAATTACTGAAAGTTACTGTCGCACAAGATATAGCGAAAAAGCATGGCGTGTCATTTTTTTTTTTCAAAAAAAAAAAAAAAATTCTCTAACGTACTTCTGTTATGTTGTTCTTGCCCTCCGGCTGGCGCTCATGAGGCCATGTGTTGGAGTGATACGATAAGGTCAGAGAGTTATTGAAGTATATGCGAGAATTATACATAGTTGTCTACTTTCGTGTGTTTACACTTGTTTGCTTACATAATAATATCGCATTGGTTATTACTGATTAATATAAATTCAGCACAAACTGCTTTTGATTGATTTGGGCATCTAAACTTGGTATGACCTGTCAAAAGGTTTTATTTTTTTTTCTTTTTTTTTCTTTTTTACTTTTTTTTTTCTTTTTTTTCGTAATGAGCATATTGAATGCATTTAATTTCTTATGGTATGCAAATACTAATTAATAAATTCAAATTACAGGAGCAATTCACTGTTAATCAAATATGTTATGACATGACTCGTCTGTAGATATTTAAAGAAATTTTTCATAGACTGAAAATGTAAAAACTTGTAAATGTCTCCTAATTTAAATACTTCTAATAAGCAAAAATAGGAAAATTCTTTAAGTTGAAAATGGTAATTTTTTATATTTTCCTTAAATAAATAGGTAAGATGTAAAAAAAAAAACATCTCTTATAGTTAGTTATAATAAAGATAATGACAAACTTAATTTAAGAAATTAATTATAACATTGTTTGATTTGTAGTTTCTTAACATGTGATTCTTATCTATTTAAAATATATAAGTTTTTTTTTTTTTTTTTTTTTTTTTGTAATCATATTAATCATTAATTTTCTTTGGTCAAATACAATTAATAATTCAAAATTACAGGAAGCAATCACTGTTAATAAATATGTATGACATGACTCCGTCTGTAGATATTTAAGAAAATTTTCAAAACTAAAATGTAAAAACTTGTAATGCTCTAATTTAAATCTTTATAACAAAAATAAAAATCTTTAAGTTGAAAATGGTAATTTTTTATTTTCCTTAAATAAAAGAAATCATTCTTATAGTTAGTTAAATAAGATATGACAAACTTTAATTTTAAAAATTAATTATAACTTGTTTGATTTGTAGTTTCATTAACATGTTGATTCTTCTATTTAAAATAATAATTTTTTAACGGTCAATAAGATCTTTAATTTATGATTGTCATTAACACTTTACCCTTTCATTTTGATTTTATTAATATTTTAGTCTCTCCTTTTAAACATAATGGTCAAAGTGTTAAATGTTATGTTTGAGAATAGCTTTTTAAGTATCTTTTAACTTTTTGATTAAATGTTATTTTTATAGTATTCGTTAACCTAGCGTATGCTAGCGTATGAACTAGCTTTTAAATGTTAATATAACGTTTTATTAAAAATTAATTCATATAATATTTAACTTTAACGTTTTATTAAAAACTACTCTAATAATCAACTGATAAACTCTTTTAAAATAACTAATTTTATCTAATAAATCTGAAATTATAATTTAAAGATGTTATAATTAATTTTTTGAAAATCAAAATTTTCATGCGCGCGAGGGAGGAATTTATTTTTTGAAAAAGAAAATCATGCTCATTGTTACTCAAAGATAAGACTACCTCAAAATACGAGAATCCTTATCCCGTCAAAAAACATCCACGTCCTAATTATGTCATGGTCACCCATAGTTTTCCGAAAACAATAACAGTAGAAAACAATAATAGTAGAAAACAATGGAAAAACAAAACAAAAAACCAAAAAAATAATCAGAGCAAATGATCATATGAGCATATATATAAATACTACAAGAATTCCAACGAACAACACTCTACCAAGAATCAAAATCAGGAAAAGAAAAATGTTAGCCATATTTCATAAAGCTTTTGCTAACCCGCCAGATGAGCTAAACAGTCCAGCTTCTAATAATGGCAGTAAAAAGCCAAAGCTTCCTCAAGAAACTCTTGATGAATTCCTTTCTCATCATCCAAACAACACTTGCTCCATGACCTTTGGTCAAGCTGCAGTTCTTGCCTATGTTCGCCCTGAAAACCCTTTTTCAAAACATCAAAGATTGTTCTGCGGGTTTGAGGACATATTTTGCCTTTTCTTGGGGAGCTTGAACAACTTGTGTCTACTGAATAGGCAATATGGATTAACGAAAGGGAGTAACGAGGTCATGTTTGTAATAGAGGCTTATAGGACCCTTCGAGATAGGGGTCCATACCCTGCAGATCAGGTTGTTAAGGATCTTGAAGGAAGCTTTGCTTTTGTTATTTATGACAGTAAGGCTGGAACTGTCTTTGTTGCTCTGGTAGGTTTAATTAGTTTCCTTTTAATATAGATTACAATAAATTTTAAAATTTTAAAAATTTTCTTTTTTTGGGTTACAAAAGGGAGAGTCAAATCCTGAGATTCATATGGTTGCAGGGCTCTGACGGTGGAGTGAAGCTTTTCTGGGGCATTGCAGCTGACGGCTCTGTTGTGATATCAGATGATTTGGAGGTCATAAAAGCTGGATGTGCCAAATCATTTGCTCCCTTCCCAACAGGTCACACAGGAATTACTTCCTTTCATTCCAACTGTCAATTTTCAACTTTTATATACGGAATAAAAAAAAAACAATTGGCTTATCTTAATTCTAATTTTTTTTTTAAAATTACCTTAATACTCTTCTACCCTCCTCAAATCTCAATCTTTTAGTGGATTCAATAAATAAGGATTCAAATCCCAATCTCTGCTTTTTTTTTTTTTTAATCATACAATTAGTCGCTTTTATTTTCTTCTGTTTTTTTTGTTATAGAAATATAATTTGTCTTAAATGAAAATTTTGCAAGCTGAATGATATATAAAAAATACTTAAAAGAGCGTTTATCATTTAATCTTCTGATTATATTCATCAGCTATATTAGTCTTTTTGACTAATGATAAATTTTGAATTTTGAAGGATTAAATTGTTAAATAAAAATTGATTGATTTATGCAATACTAAGATTAACTAATAGGAATTTGATTTGATTGTATTAATTAAAATAAAATATAAAAAAAAATGTGGATGTAGGTTTTATGTTCCACAGCGAAGGAGGATTGATGAGCTTTGAGCATCCAATGCATAAGATAAGAGCAATGCCAAGAATTGATAGTGAAGGAGTGATATGTGGAGCAAATTTCAAAGTTGACAAGTACACAAGAATCAACAGCTTGCCACGTAGAGGCAGTGAAGCTAATTGGACCGAGTGGGACTCTCATGCCTAAACTACCCTTATCTCCCTTCTTCCTTTCATTTATCTACTTTTTTTTCTTTTTCTTTTTCTTTTTTTTATTGGTTTGTCTATTTCCCTCTCAATCAATGCAAGTATGTGACTTTTAAAGGAAAAATAATAATAAAAAAAGAACATCTTTTACCTTGTTTTTTTTTCCCCTGTGAATGGAGTTGATATACTAGATGAGATAATCTAAAATACTTGAGTTGATTTGAGTATAATTTTTTTTTTTTTTTTTGCATAATTTTTTTTTTTTTTTTTGCATTTGGTAATTTTAAATTTTAATATTTTCGTATATAATTATAATTATAAAAATGCAATGGAATTTTTATAATAATGCAATTAATATGAAATATCGAAATATTAAAAATAATTTTGTGTTTTGAGCACAACCCCAACGTTCTAAAATTAGCAAGCCAATGACCCAAAACTAAAATTAATTAGAAAAAATCTGTAAACCTTTTGGCAACATTGGTGAACTGAGTTTATTTTTAACCAAAATTTTGATACTACTTAATTATTAATAATTAATTATTTTTTCCAATCTTTAGAAATCCGATTATTTAATTAACTGAATTTCTCACTGACAAATAGATTTTAATTTTACATGAATTAATAAAAATTATCTAAAAATATTTTTCGTAATAGCTATTTTTAGATAAAAAATTTTTGCAATATTAAAAACTAATAAAAAAAAGTTACATGCTAAGATCATTTATATAATTAAATTTAAATAATAAAAATTTAATTAGTTTATTTTATGAATGGATTTATGGACCGACTGGAGATAAATCTAATCTATTTGGATATAATAGCGGATTAAATTGGAACTTTCTTTTTTCGCTCTCTTTTTTACTTTCATCACTCTAGTACAAGCTTAACTTGACACTACTCTAGAAACGCGAAGAACTCAAAGCTTTCTCCTGTTGTTCTGTAAACGCAATTCTATTCCACACGGAGAGAGAGTAGAGAAATGGCGGACCGGTATTTCCCCAACGAAATGCCAAATTATGTACCAGAAATACTAGAAGAAGCTGTTACTGAAACAAGCAAAGACTCGCTCACAAAGCTCCTTTCTCTTCCCTACAACACTGTTACTGAGAGACTCAAAAGATCAGCTTTAGACATCAAAGATACTGTACTCCTATCTATTAAAGACCTCAAATTTTGTTTCTTTTTTGTATCAAAGTTGTAAAATTTTTCTTGAGTTTGATTATTCTTTAAGGTTTTGTAAATGCCCATTAAGTGTTTGTTGTTTTCGCTTCAGGTGGTTAGGGAGACATGGGGATTAAGTGGAAAGCGTGTGCAAGATTATACTATTTATACAGGGATGTTAGGGACTGCTTACTTACTATTTAAAGCTTATCAAGTTACCAAGAATTATAATGATCTTAAATTGTGTTCTGATATTGTCATGGCTTGTGATTCTGCTTCTAGGGGTTCTGGGTAATAAGTCTTTCTCTCTTTTGTTTGTGGTTATGTTATCTTTGCCGACCTAGCTTATTTTTCTTTAGGATGCTAATATAGCATCGGTAGTGAGAAATTTTATTTTTTTGTATCTTACAACTGATGAGAGTTATCTGGGAGTTTTTAAGGTTATGCACGGGACACAATTGTGGACTCAATTCTGGCTTACCCTAGATTAAATTCTAAATGTAAATTTATTATTTGATATTGGCATGGGTTGTTGGATGACACGTGAATTGCTAGTTGAGACATCAATCTAACTGCAAGTGCAATTCAACTATATTGTTTAGTATAAAAAAGGGAATTTGCACAACTAAAGTTGGTACACGTAATATGAAACTCTTTTTAGATGTATTAGAAGTCTGCACCCAATTTTAAATTCAGGTATAATATATGAAATTGAATCGCTGAGCTGAGAGTGTTCTGCAAAGTTGAAACTGGTTTTAGTTATGGATTGGCTTTGTGTTTTGTTCATCACTTACCAATCAGTGGAATAGTAATTTAATTAGCTTGATTAGACTGCTTATGCAACGTACATGAACTTCAGGCGTGTCACATTCATATGTGGGCGGGCTGGTGTTTGTGCTCTTGGTGCTGTCACTGCAAAGCATGCTGGTGATGAAAGGCTATTAGATCTTTACTTAACACAATTTAAAGAGGTGCTGATCGCATCTCCTCCCTTATGTTCAGGACATTGTTTCTCGTACTTGTTGGTTTGTGTTTGTTAAAGTCAATTAACAGATTCTTATTAATCTCGACACAGATCAAACTTCCCAGTGACTTGCCGTATGAGTTATTGTATGGGAGAGCAGGTTTCTTATGGTCCTGCTCATTTCTCAACAAGCATATTGGTAAAGAGACAATATCTTCTAGCTGCAGAGTAAGGCATTTTATGTTTGATATCTTCTCAATTTAACTGATCTTATCGAAGAAGATGAGCCATCTGCTAATCTGGGTTTGAAACTTCTGTAGAGAGCAGCTGTGGATGAAATAATTGAGGCTGGGAAAAAATTGTCACACAAAGGGAAATGTCCACTGATGTATGAATGGCATGGAAAAAAGTATCTGGGTGCTGCCCATGGGATGGCTGGGATCATGCACGTTTTGATGGACATGGAACTGAAGCAAGATGAAATAGAGGCTGTGAAGAGCACCCTACGCTACATGATTGAGACCCGTTTTCCCAGTGGTAATTATCCTTCGAGTGAAGGAAATGAATCAGATCGTCTTGTGCATTGGTGTCATGGTGCTCCTGGGGTAGCTCTTACCCTTGTGAAAGCAGCTGAGGTAACCTTTTTAGACCTTCCATTTAAACTAGAAAACTGGCTAGGGAATAATTGCTCGAGATAGCCATGACAAATAGTAAGAAAAGAATGTATTATTTGCGTTGCTTTCATCTATATGTATGTTTACCTGCCAAGCAAAACACTGTCACGTGTGTGAAAAGCTAGATTTAATATTGTGTTGCAAGCAATTATTGAAATTTAATGTGTTAGTGTTGATTTGATATACATGATTTCAAATAAGCATTAAGCATTCAGTGAAGACTTAAGAGGCTTTCACTAGGAAAAGAAATCATTTCGTTTATATCTGAAACAGAAATTATTGTTTAAAATAAAAGGCAACATTTCCTTTCTTCTCGTGGTCAAAATTCTGAAACATGAAAATAGAGAAAGTTACAATTCCATATTATGGCTTGATAACCTGTTGCACAACAAAATCAGTCCAAGTAATGACCATTTCTTATTTCCTAAGAGAGATAATAGTGTCAGTACCATATGACCATGCTTGAAGTAATCAGGTTTTTGGAGATAAAGAATTTCTGCAAGCAGCTATAGATGCAGGGGAGGTGGTTTGGAACCGGGGTCTCCTCAGGCGAGTTGGTATATGTCATGGCATTAGTGGGAATACCTACGTCTTCTTTTCACTATACCGATTAACAGGTAGAGCGGAATACTTATACAGAGCTAAAGCATTTGCGTGCTTCCTACATGATAAAGCACAAAAACTCATATTAGAGGGGAAGATGCATGGAGGTGATCGGCCTTATTCACTATTTGAAGGTATTGGAGGAATGGCGTATCTCTTTTTTGACATGATTGAACCATCTGAAGCCAGGTTTCCTGCTTACGAACTCTAAAACTGCAATATCATATTCGAAAGCAAGTAGATATGTAATATCACTTTAGTTTATGGACGTTGATGCTGTCTGTACTTTGTCTATATGATCTTGAATCGCAATAATATCTTCTCATTTTCCAAGGAGTTATTTGTGCTTCTGTCTGCATATATGATCTTGAATTACAAAAAAAAATCATTTCAGTTTAAAAAAAGTTTGTTATTTGTGACTTGCAACGAGGATGAGTATTTTATTGTCAAATGGTACAAACAAGTTATCTACTCCTACAACAGAAAATTGTTTTACAAAAAGCACAGTATCTGAATACAAGCTTCACTCGTACAAGGATTCAGCTCTGCAGTAACATCATCCTCTCCCGTGACGACAATTAGTTTGAAAAGAACTTGAAGAATGTAATTAAGCCAAACCAACAAGTTTCTCACTAATCTCCCATACTTTCCGAGCCTTGTCTGCGTCACTAGCTTCTTGAGACAACTGGTTCTCAAATGAAGCTGAATCCTTATTCCAGCTCCAGTACACACCTGATTTTGTCAAGCTTGGCTCACTAACGACCTGAAGTGAAAAAGAACAGGTAATGTTACTGCATAATGTGTGAAAATGGAATTCATATATATAAGTGAAAAAGAAACAGGTAATGATTTCTGCATAATTTGTGGTGAAAATGGAATTTATATATATTTATATATATTATATATATATATATATTATATTATTCTTCATTTGGTTTTCACTTCTTTAATTACCTGAGCCAAAAGCCCCCCCCCCCCCCCCTTTTTCCAGCCTCACTTCAGATAATATATATTATTTTCATTTGTTTTCACTTCTTTAATTTACCTGAGCAAGCCTTTTTCCAGCCTCATCTTCAGATACAAAGCCCTTGGTAATGTACTTCTGGAACGGAGGGAATAGAAGCCTGAACAAAGGAATGTGCTCCCTGAACAAGCCTGTTGTGGCAATGCAACCGGGATAAAGGGAAGCAAAAGTGATGCCGGTTTCTTCATGATAGCGCCTATGGAACTCTTGCATCGTAAGCATGTTGCAAACTTTGCTGTCCTTGTAGGCTTTGGCACCATCGAATTCCCCACCATCGATCATGGATGAAGTGTTTAGCCCATTCAAACCTCCTGCAAGTCCCCTCATATCCCCAAGATTGGCCTTAGGAGGTACATTGCCAGCCAATGTGTTTGTGTTCCCTAAAGGTTTCATAAAAACAAATTTAAAATATTAGCCAAACTTATCTAAATTAAAAAGAAAAATAAAATGTTAAAAAGGCTGTGCCCAATGCATGGAGTTCCCTGTTTTGCAGGGAAGGTACGTCTGTAATAATCAGTCTTTCCCTTTTCTTTCTGAAAAGAGTTTATTTCCGCGACTTAAAACTGTGATCAGCATTGAGAATTTCTTTTAAGAACATGCATATTGGCAAATTTGACTCTGACCAGAGGGTTTGAACTTGAAAGTTTACTACTCTGGAGCATGGAGACGACTCAAGTGTTACTAAGCTAGAAGCATGCTCTATAGTATGTATATTAGTAACAAATGTGTCGTACCAGTAATTGAGCCAACAATGATGAGTCGCCTTGATGGATAATCGGATTTGTTGAGATCATCAAGAAGCAAACGAGAGAGGAGGAAATGACCAAGATGGTTAGTGCCAACACTAAGTTCAAATCCTTCAGCAGTGAATGTAGGCTCTTTAGCTGTTGGCAAGTAAACAGCAGCATTGCAGACAAGAACATCAAGAGGCCTTCCAGATCGCCTAAAGTTGTCGACAAATTGGCGAACACTGTCAAGAGAAGCAAGATCCAAATGCATAATTGTGTAATTTTCTTTGGCAATGCCAGCTGATTTGGCTGCTCTTTCTGTCTTAAGAAAGTCTCTGCAGGCCATGATTATATGCCATTTTCCAGTTTCTGCTAAAGCTTTAGCTGTAGCTAAACCTAACCCAGAAGAAGCACCAGTGATCACAACACTGCCCTTTCTTAGGGTCTTTTTGCCTTCTGTGGATGCCCTGTTCACTGCTGGACTTGCTGTTGCCGTTGTTTGGGCTCTCACAGCCCCAATTCTTTGGTTTGATTCCCTCTGCCATATAATAAATAAACCAGCAAATACATCTCTATTCTTGTCTGTGTATGGTGAAAATTTTTAGCTGTAAATTCAAGAATAAATAAATGTAGGCATTAATCATTACCTTGCACCTCAATGCAGAAGAGCTAAAATCAGCTTTGAGATGATCTGAGAGTGAAACTCCAAACAAACTGGAGTCCTTGAAAGATGCATTAGATTTGCCCTGCACATGAAACAACACCATATATCTTTCTTTGAACTATTGCATCAAAAACAAAATGTGTCTTTTTACAGTTCAATTGTTCAAATTTATTTAATTTATTTTTCTTCAAAAATTTTCAATTTACAATAAATGAATTCCTAAAATCATATTTCAAAGGATAAATTATCATAAGCACACTAATAGTTCTTGCAGAATTCTGACAATAAGTTGCGATTTAAATTCTACTATTTATATAAGTGAAAACTCAGAATTTTTAAGTAACAAAAAGGCATTAGTTACAAACCTCTTTGGGGACAACAAAAGCAGAGGAAACTAAAGAAGCAGCCTGAAGAGCCATTATCAAATAGTCTTAATATGGCACTAAAGTTCTTCCTATTAAGTTCAGTCTGAGTATTTGCAGTGAACAAGAAGAGAGTGCTTGAAGGAGATATTTACAATATGAGATATATATATAAATATATATACACATAGTGGGATGATGTCTATTTTGGATACGAGAGGATAAGATAAATGGAGCAAATGTGTCTGCCACATCAATTCCAAGCAGCCAATGAGAGACTGACTTTTAGATTTCATATGGTATAATATTGGATTTTTGATTTTATAAAAATGATGGCTTACAGTGAGTTTACATAGGAAGGGATATTTCGGTCCTGTTCCCAAAAAGTTCCACTCCTACAAGATATGGGGCTTGGTCTTGACAATGATAGGGAATGGTAGGGCTGATGTTTTGGATTATGGATTAGGGATTTTACCAATTGAACCATTTTTTGGTAGCTTGGCTTTGTCTTGTAATGTATCTTTGTGATTGTGAGTTATTACCAATTTTAGGAATTCTCCTAATTAATAAAATAAATAAATTTATTATCAATCAATTTTGATTAATATCATTTTTTTTAAATATAAATTTAAAATTTAGTTAAGCTAAAAATAAATTTATTTTATATTAAGTTTATTTTCTCAGTCTAATTTAAAACAAAATTATCTATAAGAATACAAAAATTCACTAAAAGCCTCAAAGTTCAACTTAGCTTACAATAAATTCATTTGTCAATTGGGATATTATATTATCTTTACTCTTCAAATTGCTCCCATTATGCTTTTATTTTAGGTTATGTGTAATTCAATGGTTATGCCATTTTGTTTTTGGTAGTCTTTGGACAAGATTGGAAAATAAACAAAATTACACTATCTCATTTTCAAACTATGTATAATATGAAAACATCAGACAAGAAATACTTAAAAAATACAGTAGTTTTTACTTATATACTTACATAGAAAGTACTTGTATTTCCGTCAAATATCAAATCAGATGGAAAGAAATTAGAGTTAGTAGATGATTTACAATGCTAACCAAACTTATCCACTTTTATATAAAGTAAAAGAGTAAAAATACACATAGATTCCTAAATTATATCTTAATTAAAATTTTTGCACATTTATTTTTAAAAATTACTATTGTATTTCTATTTTTGGTTAAATTCATTATCAGATCCTTCTGTCAAAAAAGTTACCACCTTCACCATTAATTGAATATATTTTTTGGATGAATACTTGTGTTTTTTCAGATAAAAGAACTCGATAGTAAGTTTAAGCAAATATTATTATCTTAGGTCATATTAATTTATAAAAACTGGGGAATAAGTGTTAATTGACTATAATTTAGAGACCCAACTAGATTTTATTCTAAAGTTAATTATTTAACTTCTTTCTGATTCAGAAGATAATAATTTAAATTATAAAACTTAAATTAATAACTTAGTATTTTATTTTATAAATTGGAGTTATTGGCCTTACTCTTGGTGGTTTTTGAATTTTGTTTTTCCAACTGTTGACCATCTTCTTTGATTGAGAGCGAGTCCTTTTTCGTTTTTCTTTTTTTTTTTTTTTTTTTTTTTTCGCCTTACCTCTTGGTGGTTTTTGAATTTTGATTTTTTCCAACATCGTTGACCATCTTCTTTGATTGAGACAGCGGAGTCCTTTTTCGTTTTTCTTTTTGTTTTTTTTTTTTTTTTTTTTTCTAAAATTTGCTTTTTTTTTTTTTTTTTTTTTTCTAATTTGCTTTTTCTATTCAATAAACACAGATAATTTTCAGATATGTTAATCTCTATATCTTTTAAGGCATAAATTTATTTTCTTTTATTATTTTTGTTTTCTTCACTGGTTTTCTTCTTCCTTTTATAGGATGAAAGAGTTCTTCATTAGTTGAAGAATTATGTCCTTAAGACTTTAAAATCTTGGAGTTTCAAAGTCAGCTTTTTTATTTTGGTACTTCTTGAAAGATCATGTTTTCTCGAGAAAACTTATCTTAAAAAATTATGGAACTATGTGAAGTAATTTTGCAACTGTAAATGGTAGACAGCATATAGTTCTTCACGATCAGAGAACAAGTAATAGAACAGAAAGTAGCTGATAGATTGAACAAGACTATTGAGAACGAATGTAAAAGAATTTCATTTTAATTCAATAAGCTTTTGCCATGCTCATAACTCTACAATTCCCGACACGAGAAATACATCGGTATCTAAATTCAAGGTGTATTTTTTTTTTTTTTCCTTTTTTTTTTCTTAACAAATCTATAATTTTTTCTGAAATGCTCAACCGGAAATGGATGTTATCCATCTGCACTCAACATCCGATGAGCATAAGCACAAGAAAAGAACTGAAACTCACTAAATATTACATATCTCACCAAATATCTCTCTGTACACATTTAACCATGGAGAAACACTTTCTACTGTACTACTTTTGCCAATTCAATTTGCCCACCATCATTTCTTTACCTTTTCTTCGGACGTTAAATTCGAACAGGCAATCCAAAATTTTGAAATGTTCTAATTTCCCCTCGAAGACCAGCAGTTACAATAACCATACCATAAGCTGACATATTTTGACTCATCCCGCTCGAAATATCCACACTAGTGCGGGGACTCCAAGTTCTTGTGGCTAAATTCAGTTTTTCCTCTGGCCATGTTGCAGAAATTCTGTCGAAGAAATAACCATTGGTTGCACTGCAAATAATTCCATTGAGTGGACTGTTCGTGCACCCTGATAATGATTGTGATCCTTCATTACCGCTTAATTCTTCAACAGGGGTAGGAGGATGATTGGCAACAGATACCTCATCGAGATGGTTATCGAGGCCATTCTGTTCTCCAGGATAAGTATCTTGTATTCCCCATGTGTCACCCATGCCAGGCCATGGAATAGCCATGGATACGTCTTGACAGTGGAAATGCTCATATGAACGCGTAATCGTAACACCTTTGCTTCTGCTAGTTCGAGAATCTGTCTCATGCTTCCATACATATACATAAGAATCCTCACTAGCAGAGACTACGTATTTTCCATTGGCTGTAAGAGAGGCTGAGATTTGGCTGTTGGTATTACGAAACCCTGTCACAGAATTATCAACTTCAGCTATAAGAATGGTACAGTACTATAGATGCTTGTTAATCTACTAGCATAAACTTGTATTTTGCCATCCAACAGAACTAGTGCACTACAAGACACTGCCTTAAAGAAAATCAACTCTGAGAATGAACTAATACACACAAAAATTTATCATAATTGACAGTTTGGATATTTGATTCATATAGTAAGCAAAGATGGCATATAAAATATGGTAAGCAAAGATGACAAAAAATTATCATAATTGACAGTTATAGTTGAGTTGAAAGCATTTCTTAGTTTGAAGGTAAAATATACACAAAATGAGCTCCATCCAATCAATTTCAAAACCAAATAATGCAGTTCGTTCTATACTATTATGTATCCTATCATCAAGGAAATCCACAATATGCTGGCACAGCACTTCTGTGTCATCACAAACTCCTATAAATGCCAACTCTATCTTGTCTTGGACTCTCTCTTACCACCTACTTCTTAACAAAAATCCATGCATCAACTCCACTCAACTTTAGCAATAGAACAAACTCACCACAAGTTCTCAAGATGTATTATAAATCCAAGAGTTCATCGACATTCCTTGTTAAATAAAAGGTTAGCATGAGAGAAAGTGAGAGAGATTATATAGAGAAGTTCACATCTTAGATTGAAGTATTCATTTCTTTAAATTCCTTAAATTGAACAACCATTTCAGTAAGTGTGAATTTGAAGATCTACAACTAAAAGAATGCTTAAATTAAGTTCCTGTTTATGAGGTAGCTATTAGGAAATATATTTTTCAATTGCAGCTGTCAGACTGAGATTTTGACGTTAATCCCTTCCCCTAAATAATGCTACAAAACTTCTCTGAAAGAGCAATAATGTACAGAGAAACCTGAGTCCTAAAAGTTTGTTCCAGAAACTTGCAATACCTTTTGCAAATTAATTTATGCACGAAAACAACAATATATCAGTTTTTCCAACCCAAAGCATGTCGTGACAAAGTTAGTCAAGTGAGAACCTGACTTTAGAAGGAACCTTCAAGTTTGGGCAATAAATTTGCCCTGAGTTCAACATAAAACATTCTTTTGATAGACAGTAACTCCCTTTCTTTTTTACTTTTTCTCTTTACCATTGTGGATAAGGGGGAGGAAAGAGATGGTAGGCACTATTGAAGAAAAAGGAATTTAGACATCAAAGAATTGTGTTGTTACCATGAAAGCTATTTGGACAAAGAGTTCCCTCTAAAGCATTCTCGTTTGCTTAGAAAGCCTCTTGAGAGGGAATTTTGGCAGTTGCTTATATGACAATAAGAAAATGTTGTTGAATGTACAATTTTCTCTGTAAAGATAGAATCTGCTAAGCACCAGTTCTTCATTCTTAGCAGACAGGAACTCTTCATTTCTTGGCATGTTGCACTTCTGGAATCAGGTAGATCTATTGAAGAACTTAGGAATGGAGCTTGATACTACGAAGGATCTAACTTTAGAGCAAGGCAAGGAATAAAAAGATGCAGGAAGTCACACCACAACTGTATTGTAAATAACTTAAGGGAGAATCGAAGTGCTTTAAAGAATGTGGTAAGCTGTTAGCAAAGTGTATAAGTTACCACCTCTCTTCCTTTGAGGTGACAGGAAATTTTTGGTTCGAGTGTTTTGAATAAATTTTGTTCAAAATATAAGCTAGTGGTTCTCACAAGTATCTGCAGTCTAATTTCGGTATTTCAATTAATGTAGTTTTCGCTTCCAATTACAAAATAACAGAAATGAAAATTGAATAGAAAACTACATGGGGTTGCACTCTAAGAATCATGGTACAGAACAAGTAAAATAATTGGCTACACAAGCAAAACATGATACGAAGGGAGAAAACAGATTTGGACAACGTCTAAAAAAATCAATAATAAAATAGCATGTGAAACAAATGAACTCATTGGGAGAGCTAACTGAAAAGCAAAGCTACTGGATCACCTATCCAACTTATAAACAGGCCCAAAAAGTTTAGTCAATTACAGTTTGCTGTCTGAATCAACTGTCAAGAAAAGTGCCACCATAAAAAGAATAGGATTTTACGTTCAAGCACATGCTTTACCTGCTTGGGTTCATGAATATCAGGTGCCTTCCTCAGATCAATACAGCCCCAGGCAATTTTACATTGTTTCACCTCAACACACGTTTTCAGAAAGTTCTAGAAGACTCCTAGAGTTTCACAGGGATAGTGATGAATTGCGATGATTCAACATATCTACAATCTAAGAAAATTAACTTAGCCCTTTTGACTTTGGATGCCAGAGAAAACAGACACCTAATCTCCTTGCAAATGTAAATCTGGAGAAATATAGGCGGTGCAGATGCTTAAAGTCCATTCATAATGTTCATGCTAGAGGTTGCTAGTTTTTGTAGCTAGAGTCAGGTATCATTGACTTAATCAATCAAATTGGTTTGCAAAATAAAACCTTCAGGTATAATGTAGTTCCATACAGCTAGAAATAACAAGAAAAGAAACAACATGCCTGCATAACCCACCTTTGAACTTGTGAACCAGATCAACACCATCAATAACTCGAACTCGAGAATCTGCTGATGTGATGAGCACTTCTGATGAACTTCCCCGTGCAAACTGTTTGTAAAACAGATCAAAGATCGGAAAGGATCATACATAGTAGTCACACAAGGAAAGTAATGACAAGATCAGCAAGAAAACAATCACGATGTTTTCTCTTAATAAATAAATCAAATACATGCTTATTTAGCTAAATAGTCAGGCTACCTGGAATCCAGTGATTTTTTTTAGATGAGACTTCTTCTTCTTATTCTGCAGATTAATTTCGCACTTTTGTTGCAACTTATTCTCTGAAAAGTAATATCAGATAAGGGAAGAAAAAGCAGTGAGTTGCAAATCAAATTAAACAACCAAGAGACAGAAAGAGAGAGAGTTTATCAACTTGTACCAGATGTACTGTATAAACGGCAGCTTCCCTTGTATGAACCAACAAGTGCACCCTTCAAAACCCCATAAAAAATCATTGAGCTAAAATCTTTTGCATGATATAGACAGGCCATAAACACAATTATTAACTGCAATCAACCTGACCGTCTGGAGTATAGCAAGCAGCAGTGACCATCTCATGTAAATCATTCCAATCAACAACTTGACGATCAGGAATGCTCCATATGCGAACCTTTGCATCTAGGGATCCACTAATGAAGTATCTATCATCGACAGGATTAAACTGGATGCAAGTTACTGTGACAAGAGAAACCATACAAATAATGCTAATTAGCAATACCTAATTGGTTCAATCGAAGGAAAGGATAAGGAGAGGGGAAGAAAATTAAGGGGAAAAAGGATCACGCTAAACCAATTCACAATTTAATTACCCTAAGAAGAGAATGAACCTTTCACAATGCAACTAATGGCTAAACCTTAAGTTAATTAGTGCTTCAATAAAGAAAAGGAGGAAGAAAAAAGTGAAAGGGGGAACCTTTTAGAAAAGGGGGCAAATTGTATCAGCAGACTTTTATTTAACAGGCAACAAAAGTACAGGCTAAATAGAGAAAGAGATAAAAGGGAGAGAAGCATTAGAAGCCATTGACAAATGTAGTTACCATAATCACTGTGTGAGAATACTTTCAAACAAGTCTTGCTCGACAAATGCCATAGACGCACTGTTTTATCCATTGAAGAAGAAAGCAGGTGCTGTGGAAAACAAATATCAATACAGTTAGGATATTCTGCAGATACTATTTTGTTAATTTGTTATCCATAAACAAGTTGATAAAGTCATCGACATATTTTTAGATTGTCTCCAAGATTCTGAAATCAAAAATTAAAAGGAATGAATGTCAAACTCGCCCTTAATCCTTCAAAAAATATCAGTACCAACTAGTGAGTTTTAAATCCTCAAATTTCTGATCCTTTCCCTCCCACATTTGAAGATGTAAATAAAACTTACATTCAAAATAAATAATAACTGTGTTATAATTTTTAAGATATAGGAAATTCTTAAAATGCTTTGAAGATGCTAAAATATAACAAATTCAGTAAGAAACCAGGAGTTAATAAACATTATAATGATGAAATTTCTGAACGTGCAGAGACTGTTGCTTTTCAGCCACAATATATTTCTCAATGCCAGAAAACTTAATATGACACAAGACATATGTTTTAAGATTGCAATATGCAGCTAACCCAAAGGAAAAGAAACTTTGAAGTACAAAACTAGGAGTAATTGACCAAATACATTACAAAAATACGCATAGCAACCGTATTTTTCAACTCTATTACAAGCCGGAAAAATAATGCCAGATTCTTCTTTCCTTCTCAGACTAGCAATATTCAGAACTTCAACTTGAATGATCCATAAACACTCATTTCTACCTTCAGAAATAAGTGTTCTTCTCAACAACTATACATATCACAACTTCATAACTATATCATGCTTCATCTACAGGATTGGTTTCTTCTTTACACCCCTAAACCTTTCCATTCATCCAACTTTAAGAAATATTTTAATGATTATAAAAATCAATTTAATCACACATGACATCATAAATGGGCCAGGAAGAATGAAGAAGTTCCCAATGGCAGATGCTAACGACCATTAAAAGATATGCATGGTACTAAGGATTATTAATTTCCTTCATTTTTTCTAGCCATTTTTATGATCGTCAATTAGAGAGGGTTCCTTTTACCACTATGTATTTATACAGATTTGGTAAGGGAACACATTCAATTCTTGTCTGTTCAATAAACTAGTTCCCAGTTCTTCACTTCATTAGCTTGGTAGCTAGCAAGGCTCATAACCCTGAAGTCAGTTCAAATCCCATCTCCTCAACATTGTTTTGTACCAAAATAAGTTAAAAGAAAAAAAAAAGGGTGGAGTTATATTCTTGTCCGTCCATTAAACTACTTCCCATTTCTTCTCTTCATCACATTGGGCAGAGCAGCTTGGTAGCTAGCAAGCTCATAACCCTGAAGTCACAGTTTTAATTCTGTGTCATAACATTGTTTTGTACATATTAGGTCCCATGTCCTGCCAATTGAGAAAATATTCACGAACTTCAAGATCTATGCAACAGTTCTCCAAGATTCAAAATGCTGCTTCCCAGCAACTTAAGATTGCCACATCAACACAAGCCAAGAATGACTATCTCATTCTTCCTGTGACAAATGTTGATAGAAGAAAATCAATCTTCCCCTTTGTAGCAGGCACAAACATGCCAAACCTGACAACAATACTGTGTTTGCTCCTAACAAGGTTCACAAACATGAAAGTTATTCCATAGGCAGTCAATATAGCAAAAGCAAGTTAGTATCCTTCCATGGAGACTCAATCTCAAATCCTGCTGCTATTTCATTGGACATGTGGAAATGTAAGGCTGTTAGACAACTTCTATGGTCCAAGCAACATTATTTATTCATATGCATAGATAAATGCGCTATGTTTGTAATTGCAGATAGAGTAAATTCTCAATACTATAAATCTAATATAAGTTCTCTAGCCAGTTCATAACAATCAACAGTATGTACAAACCCCTGTAAAGTTGAGGCTTTTGTTTGGCCTACTGCTATTAAAAGCAGATGCAAAGCAAAGATACATGCTATTCATTTTAATAGTTGCGATACCCATGGTCGTCTTTTATTGAATTGCCTCTGCTGCTATGCATCTTTGAAATGGGCTCTTAGATATATTTTTTAAATATAATTTTTAAACAAATTTAAATGGAATTTTAAGTTAGTTAATTTCACGGGTTCTGGGATGGAAATAAAGGGAAATTCCTATGGAACTACTCTTGTAGTTGTCTGGTGAATTTGAATAAGGGGAATGCGAATAGCTTTAGCAGAATCTATCCCGCAGTTATCATTAACTACAGTTGTCTATGTGCCTTCTTTATATGCAATGGGATCTTTAGAGGAGTTTCTGCAGTGAATTCAGTGATGAGTTTTTTCTTTGGGTTGTTTATTTATTCTATTTCTTGCTATGAGGAAACTTTATCCTTTTTACACTTTTAGAAAACTATGAGGAAAAAGAACAGCGCAGAAGACTGCAAGAACATTCATCAGCTTATATCTGAAAATCTCTGCTTAAATACCCTAAAATGAAAAAGAACTGGAAACAGAAGTACTTCCTCTAAGCTGCATTATATGAATAAATGAAGCTCATTTAAATGTATCAATGTAATAAAAAAAACAAATCAGCTGACCACACGGCTGAATCAATTTAACAACAAATGTATTCCATCACGAGGGGCAAGAAAGATCAACAAACACATAATAGTTGCTAAAAGAGGGGGAACATAAAGCACTAATTGTAAATATATATTCTGAAGGGTAAACAAGAAAAATAAAAATAGTAACTAACCTGAGACTTGGACCATGAAAGGTCAAGCACATCATCTAGATGTCCTTGAAATGAACAAATAGGTTTATCTGTAAGTGCAAACACGGTCTCTGGGACAACAATGTGGTCCAAGCTTAGAGATTTTCTACTTATAGATGGTCTCCCTCTCCTCTTCTTCTGATAATGACCATCTGGTGTCGGTGACAACAGAGAAGGCTCAGGTGACCCATTTGCTGTCAACAAGAAGTTAAAATTTCCATCTTCTAGTTTATCATTCAGCAACTCTCCTTTCCTCTCCATCTCTATGACTTGCCAAACATGAATCACACAATCCTCACCTGCACTTGCTAGATATCTCCCATCTAAACTAAATTTAATACTCCAAATGGACCCACTATGCGCCTGTATCTCCTGACTCTTATAAAGAGCACTCAATTCTTTGAATGATTTTCCATATTGCCTTACTCTTACCCTCTCTGGCCCATGAAATGACACATCTTGGCTATCATCTGTAGCTGAACTTGACCTTCTCCCTCCCTTATCAGACCCGGTATCCCTCTCATCACTACTTCTTCTCTCTTTCTGCCCCTTCACACTACTTGCCACACTCCTTATACTCCTAAGCCAACTACCCTTCTTTTTTAACTTTGAACCTGCACCTCCAACACTTCCATTGGTGTTGCAATCAAGGTTTTCTCTGTTACCATCCTCTACATTTTGTCTCCTCATCAATTCTTGCACAATTGGTGAATGCCCAACAGTCATTTCAAACTCCTCCATTGTCAACTGCCTTCCAGTCTCTACTTCTTTCAATTTGTTCCACGTACCATCTTCCCTTATCTCATTAACCACAAACTCTTTTCCATTATCGAGATTCTTAATAGTACACGCTTGGGTTGTTGTTGCTGCTGTACTAGTATTATCAATCCCACCAACCACACTACAATCTAGTTGCTCAATAAGGTCTCCCAAGTTAGCACTCGAGCAATTTCCATTCAAATTCCCATTAGAATTCGTGGAATCAGATCGATACATATCCATTTTTCTACCATATTTACCTGAAGGGGGCTTATTTGGGGAAAGAGCATTAGCTTTAGGAGGAGAAGAAAGATTGGTGGTTTTTTGGCTACCAACAACAACATCATTATTGTTGTTGTTTTTGTCATAATTGGAGTTACATTTATTTACATTAATTAAATCATTTGAAAGAATGCGAGGAGAATAAACAGACAACAAAGAAGAAGAAGAAGAACACGAATTAAAATTATCATTACACTTATCATCGCCATCTGCCCGATCCGCCCTCGAACCAGCACCGTCTGATTTAGACCGGATGATGCCAGCAGAAGAAGTACTCGAACTGGGTCGTTCCTGACTCAAATGATCCGATGAAACCGACCGATTAAAATTGAAATCCCCACCTTCTGGTTTAACCCGCGAAAGCGAAGGGTCAGAGCTGAGGCCCATTTGGTGAAGCAAACGTTGACGACGCTCGGACACCGAAGCAGGCTCGGAGATCCAAACATCGTACTTTGATAAGGGGAAATTAGGAATAGGAAATGAGTGGTCGTTATTATTATTACCAGGAGAGTTGGAGCTAGAATTGGAATGAGTCGGGTTAGGATCAGGTTCGGAGTCAGAGTTAGATGCCGAACAAGAACAAGACGAAGAAGCAATGCGATCGAGGGATTCGTAGAAATGCTCTTCTTCTTCTTCTTGTTCTTCCTCCTCCTCCTCTTCTTCTTCTTCCTCTTCTTCTTCTTCTTCTTCGTTGCGGTGCTTATGCTTAATATTGCTGTTCCTGCTCATTTCCTGGCGGTCATTGTTCGAACTAGTAGTTGTTCTGCTTCTCTAAGGGCATTTCATTTCCATTGGAGGAAACCAAATTGATTGGAAATGGAAATGGAAATGCCCAAAGAAACGATTGGGAACGAGAAAAGAGAAGGATTTGGAGGTGTTAGTGTTATTGAGTTGTGAAATGGTGTGTTTGGTTACAGTTATTTTGGTATTTGGGTTTTGAGTGGGCGATCTGTGGGGGATTGGGGAGATCGGAGAGAAGACAGATCCGATGAGAGAGAGAGAGAGAGAGAGAGAGAGAGAGAGGAGGGAACAAAGCCCTATGTATGTGCTGCTTGGGCGAGAGCGAGAGGGAGAGAGAGGTGATGTTTTTGTGTGTAAATGTGCGCGCGTGTGGAGGAGAGATTTACTCTTAGAGAGTGTGTTTTCTGTTTGGACTATGTTTCTTTCTAGTTCTTTTGTTTTCCTAATTTTTATTTTTATGTTTTCACCATAATAATAACTAATTAAAATAATCATTTTCAAAATATAAATAATTAAAATAATACCATAAACTACTGTTGATAATAGTGTAAAGTGCATAGTTACTTAATTAAGTGGATTTTTTATTGTTTAATTTGAAAAATAATCATTTATGACTTAGAAAAATAAATTTCTTCTTTTTAAAAAATAAATTTCTTCTTTTAAAAATATTTCTAAACCGGAAATTTCAATTGTTTATATTTATATTTTATTTCTTATTATGATATACTCATATTTGTCAATGAATATTTAGAATATTGTTAACATTATTATTACTATTGTTAAAAGTGGAGAATGAGGAATAGTAGGATATATATCTAGAGAGAAAAAATTTGATATTTCCATTGGAAGGTGTATAAAGAATTTAAGATTTAGGTTAAAAAGCAAAAACAAGCTTACAAAATTAAAAAGTTTACTTTTTTAAATAAAATTTTTTATTATGATAAAATAATATCATTCATCAATTTTAAGTTTTATATAAAAAAATATACGAAATGGTTTAATAGTCTAATTAAATATAAACCGTGTGAAATGTCAAAAAAAAAAATATATATATATAAACCGTGTGTGCTTAAGTAAGAAATTTGCAAATATATTTTAATTCAATATGTAGTATATAGATTAATATTGCTTTTAGAATTGATCAATTCCCATAATTTATAACTAATTTCGACCATTTTTTTATTATTAATTTTGATTAAAAAGAAGAAATCCAGAGATTAACCTATCTCCCTTTAATTCCGTTTTAATCTAATCTTTTTTTCAAGTTGATTTTAATTCGCATATGGACCATTAATATGTCTAATCCAAATTACTCATAAAATATTATATTTAAATTTCACTAAAAGATTGAAGTACTAATAATATTTAAGAGCACAAAAAAATTTCTCATTTTTCATATTATAATCACCAATTCCAAAAAAAAAAAATTACATGTTTAATATATTATTTATAAAAGAAAATCAAAATTATGCTTTATAAATTTTATATTATATTCTATTGGTTGTATGAAAATTTGTATGAAAGAGAGAGAGAGAGAGGAAAAAACTAATCCTAAAAACAAACATAGGCGTGCCCTTGTTACTAGGTACTCCCCAACTAGGTGGAGAGGGAAAATTCATGTTTTTTTTTTTTTTTTTTTTTTTTTTTTAATTTTATATTTATTCTATTGGTTGTATGAAAATTTGTATGTGAAGAGAGAGAAGGAGAGAGGAACAACTAATCCTAAAAAAAACAAAACATAGGCGATCCCCTTGTTACTAGGTACTCCCCCAACTAGGTTTGGAGAGGGAAAAATTCATGTTTTTTTTTTTTTTTTTTTTCTTTTTGTTATAAAATTTAAATGCCTTTAATACACACGCAGGGGTTATTTTCGTAGGAGTAAAATACTTTGTCAATTTTAATAAGCACATATCCCAAAAATTTTTTTTTTTTTTTTTTTTTTTTCTTTTTGTTATAAATTTAAATGCCTTTAATACACAGCAGGGGTTATTTTCGTAGGAGTAAATACTTTGTCAATTTATAAGCACATATCCCAAAAATTTTAAAGCCCTAGCATAATTCAGTCGTAGGCCAAATTTTTTATTTTTTTTCATTAATTGGAATTTAAATAAGGTACACCACTAGGGATAGGCATCACATTTTTTTTATTGAATTAATCAATAAATAAATTTCCTAATTATAAAGCATTAAAAATTAAAAATAAATACATAAAATTCAAACATCTCTAGTTGAAAAATGGGAAAGGTGGAACAAATTATTATTACATAAAAAATTCATGAATAATTATTAATCCCCCCAAAAAAAGACATGTCCTCAATGATAAGGTGAAGTTGTAAGTTGTTCCTGTTAGAACAACTTGGGCATTATTTCTCTCTCTTCCAGTTACCAAATACTAAACATAGACAGAGATTTGACAAGAAAATAAATTTATCCAAATTACAAATTTAAATTTATTTTATTATAAAATTTTAAAACTTGGGCTTTATTTTTTGTTAAAATGAAAATGGGTGTGGGCTTAGAAAAATAATGAAGCCCATTTAAGAAATGAAACTAATTTCCAAAACAGAGCAGTGGAAGAAGTAATGGTAGAGTTAAACAGGTTTAACTGAGCCAACTACTGTACTAACAAAAACCACAGAAATGGTGTCCAGCCCAAAGTGAAGTTGACAACCCCAAAGCTTTATTTCATCTGCATTTTGGGACCATTTTTATTAATGTTCCCCCATCTCTATAGGAGACTTCTTTTGCAAAGTGCCAGGGCTGTTGTTGTCAATTATTTATTATTACACTCAATTTAATATATATTTTAAAATGTTTTATATTATTATTATTATTATTATTGTTGTGTTTTTTAAACTTAAATTTCACAATAATTATATGAATTTTTTTTGTCTAATATTTAAAATTAGAACTTATTATTGATCTAATTCAAAGTAATATTATTAATTTCAATTTCAGTTTCGAGCCTCGTCAGTTTCGAACTGCAAATTTATTAAACTAAAATTCTAATTTCAATAAATTAATTAAACCTGTTTAAATAATATTTTTTAAAATTATTTTAATTATAATGCCAAGGAGATTTTATTAGCACTCATCATTAATGGTGTTCACAATTTAGTTTAATTGAGTTAATTAAAAAATAAATCGAATTGTGTAGAATATTGAAACTATTCAAATTGTACACATACAGTTTGGTTCAGTTTAAGTGATTTTAAAATTTATTTGGTTATATTTTAATTTAATATTCGACTTAATCTAAAAATAAATTTAATTATTTGAAATAATAGAATTATATTAAAAATTTTGTTAAATCACTTTGAAATTCTTAATAAAAACATCGATTTTTTAAGAAAAATTTTTTTGAATTAATTACAATATAAAATATAAAAGTTTCAAACGTATAAATGTTGAAACACAAATTGGAATCAAATTGTATTAGATTTTTTTTTTTTAATTTTGAAATTTATTAAAAAGAAATTATTGATGCAAATCTCAAGAAACGTTGGAGAGCCTAGAGTTAGGTCTCCTCTTTTTATTTGTAGGTCGAGGATGTTTAAACAAGTGAATGCAATAATTACTAATATGGGAGGATTTGTCTCATTGACAATTATGATAACTATCCATCTCCTTAAGAAAAAAAAATTCCCCTATAAAAAACTTTTTAAATTATTAAAATTTAAAATTGAAAATTTTTATTATATAAGTTAGATAAAAATTTCAATTCTCTTAGTATTAGCGATTTTGTAATTGTAATTTTGAAATATATGTTTTCTGAAAAAGAAAGAAAAAATAGTTATGTGGATGTAATTGTAAAAAAATGATATGTAGAGAGTATAGGGTTCTAAAAGAGGTATGTGCAGAGGCTAAGGGTAAGGCTAAAGGGGTAGACTGAAGAATGCATTTTCAACACGATAGGAAAGAGCAAAGATACAAATGAGATATCAGAAAAAGTCAAACTAATGCATTGTTTTGTTTTCTGTGTTTACTCATTACATACCTTAGTCACGTGCTCTATGGAGCTTCTCATTATCTGCCACACCCACTCCTATTTCCTATAACCCATAGACTGGTTGGGTTTTGCTTTGCCTCTCTCTCCCTCTTTCGTGGAAATTAATTGTTAGACGTTTAATTATTAATTTTTTATAAAATATTATATTTAATTTATAAAAATTAATTAAATACTATATTACGGAATATTATAAAAAAAAATAATATGTTAAACACAACCTTATCTTTATATCTCAAATTTTATCTGTTTTTTTTTTTCAATTTTATAATATTTGAACTTTCCTTTTTAGTATTAAATTTTAGAATTATTATTATTAATTCATATTCATCTAAGAATGATATTGAGGTAAAATTCTTCAAACAGGAACAACTCTAAATTTCAATTATTTAAAATAATAATTTTGCTTTCTTGTCTGTTAAAGTAATACGAAATTTGAAGGTGGATAATTTGGTACTAAACTATGTTTGTAGAAATAATTTCTTGTTTTCAATTTAATCCCAATTCAACGTATGATTTGAGTAAAAGAAAGAAAGGAACTTTATGGCTTGGTCCTTGTTGGTTGTTGTCTAACATTTTACCCACTGCTTTTGAATTTTTACAATCTATGTTCAATAAACATCCTACATGAAAGTTGGATAGAAGAAGCTTTTAATTAAAGCAAACACAAAATTAATTAATTAATGGCATTTTATGATGAAAAAAAAAAAAAAAGAATAATCACTATTAACCCTATTGGCTCCATTTTCATTTTACATACAAATTTAATCTAGCCATAAATGTATATTTGATTTAATTTAAAGTATTTTTCTCCGATACTAAAAAAAAATATATTCCTACTTTTCTTTGTATATAAAAAATAATAATTGCATTTTAAAGAAAAATAAATTTAATTTAATCAAACACAAATTTTTACAAGTAGGCTAATAATTGTGAAAAAAAATTATGTTTTAATAAAAGAAATCATGATTTATTTGTACATTATTAGGAAGCATAGCATAATAATTCAAAAACATCTACCCAAAAATAATGTGACTCAAACATGTTTGGTATCCAATAATTTAATTTCGGTTAGGGTTAATTAAAATCGATTATTTAAAAATAGGGAAGATACTTTTCCTTGTATCTCCAACCAAAGAAGCACTTGTTTCCCAATAGGGCCAAAAAGCATCACAACTCATTCTTGCACATGAAGTATGAGGAGCTCGTGCACATTTTTAATTTTCGGAGAGGAAAAATAATGTGACTCAAACATGTTTGGTATCCAATAATTTAATTTCGGTTAGGGTTAATTAAAATCGATTATTTAAAAATAGGGAAGATACTTTTCCTTGTATC